TCCTCCTCCTCCTCCTCCTCCTCCTCCTCCTCCTCCTCCTCCTCCTCCTTCTCTGGGCCTTCCTTCGACCGCACCCTCCTAGTCCCCCTCCCGCCCCTCCTCCTGCCGAACCCTTTTCCTCTCTCCTCGTCCCTCCTCCTGGCAGGGAGCCTGGCCCTGCAGGCTCGGGGCTGCTGCGCGCGCCGCCGAGACACCGTGCTCGGCCCGGGCGGCCCTCGGCGGTGCGCCGTGCGCCGCCTATCAGCGCGCAGTTGCCGCCGCCTTTCTGAGGGGCGTGGCCTCAGGATGTGACCTCTCCTCTCGAACCTCGGATCCTCCTCCTCCTCCTCCTGGTTTCCCTTCTCCTGTCCCTTCTCCTCTTCCTCCGCCTCCTCCTCCTCCTCCCCCCGGAGGTCCTTGAAATCCTCCTACTCCTCCTCCTGTTCCTCCTCATCATCCTGCTCCTCCTCCTCCTCCTCCTCCTCCTCCTCATGATGATGATGATGATGATGATGACGATGATCATCATCATCATCATCATCATCATCATCATCATCATCATCATCATCATCATCATCGTCATCATCATCATCATTCATCACCATCATCATCATCAGCATCATCATCATCACCATCACCATCACCATCACATCCATCATCATCAATCATCATCAGCATCACATCAGCATCACATCACATCATCATCATCATCATCATCATCATCATCATCATCATCATCATCATCATCATCATACTGTTCCTCCTGCTCCTCCTCCTCCTCCTCCTCCTCCTCCTCTTCCTCCTCCTCCTCTTCCTCTTCCTCCTGATTTCCGAAACCTTACGCGTCAAGCACGATGCACGCGCGCGTTCACCGTGGTCTCAAGGGTAGCGGCACCAGGAAACAGGGCTCATTGATGGGGTGGAGGTGCCCCAGAGCCATGTTACTAGATTCTTCCTCCTCCTTCTCCTCGTGCTGCTCCTTCTAGGCCTCCTCCTCCGCCTCCTCTTCAGCCTCCGCCTCCTCCTCATCATCATGTTGTTGCGAACGACCTTGGGGAGCAAGTGTCTCTGTGCTTGAATCATGCACCACATACGCATGCAACACGGGGGAAGGGGGGAAAGGGGAAGGACGGGGTTAGCCTCGGCGGTAGTCTATGTTCTGTCATTCGTCCCAGGAGCCCGCCAGGAAAGGGTGCAGGGGGCCAGGAACGGAACCAGGTCCAGGTCAGCCTCAGGGAACGAACCGTCCCATGGATCAGAGGCCCCTGCTACGGATGTCCCAGTGCAAAGCGTGAGCACTCTGCTCTAGGAGGCTGCGAGTGCTCATCACCCCGAGCCTCCTCCGTGCCAGGATCTCCGCGTGGAGAGCCCTGACCTGTATGGGAGGGGGAGGCGA